TGTCTTGTTGTACATATATTTTTTTTCTGTTGCTCTGAAATATGCAAATCATTTAAACAATTAACCAACCCGTCTGGCCAACTGATTCAATTGAACTCTCGTCGGCAGACTGATCAACCGAGAACTCTTTGCCCCTTTTGGCTGCAGTAGTTTAAAGTTAAGTTCAATGCTCGATGCCAGTTTGGTTTTACGTTTTTTCTACCCTTGTTTCCCTGTTTTTTTTGTATATATATTTTTTTTACATTCCCTCCAACAATTATGCATTATTTACAAAAGTTAATTGCCGTCGCGCAACAGCATTGTTCAACAAGGACCACGCCCCCTGTAGGAGGGCAATTAACAACATTATTGACTCTGTTCAGCAGATTGGTTGAAAAAGGGAGCCCGAGGGTGGAGAGGAGTACCCGCAGCGGCACTTTGAAATGCTAATGAAATTGCCTTTTAAAGCAGAGCAAAAAGATATACAGAAGCAGCTGAAAAATGTCCAAGCAGCAGTCCTGTGGCTCTCCCTTTTTTTTTTCCTGCTCTTAATTGATAAATTGATTAAATTGCAGAAATGCCTTAATTGCGCATGACCACATCCCAGTCACACACACACACACACATACACTCTTGAAATTTAACATTTAATTTGACTGCTGCCGACTTTTCCTGTGGAAAATGGCATTTGGCATTTTCATTGTCCCCGCCAAAGCTCTCCGCTAATGCGTTGTATTTTGTGAGAATTTGAAGTGTGTGTCACATCAGCAGCTCCTGGTTTCAATTGGATTTGGCTTTGTCTGCAGGACTACGAACTGTTGGCCAATTTGAAGGATAATTTACTGATTTTGTCTATTGTCTGGGATGACTTCAGTTGGTTACATTTTTGGTCAGCAAAAGGTTTAAGTTTGGGTTTATAAGGTTAAAGAAGATTTTATACTTGAACAGAGACAAGTTTTGGGGAAGGTGTATATAGTTTTTGGTAGGATTTTCTTGTTTCTTGAAATAGAATTCATAAATTTACAGGATTTTGCAGGATTTTTAAGTAAAATTCTTCTTTAAATGTAAGTTTTACATATGTTATTAACAGAAAGGCTTATAACAACCTTTATTTCGAGTACAAAAATATGAAACGTGGGCCAAAATTAATTTAAAAATTTAAAATTAAATTTAAAAAATTATTTTATTTGTATTTCTAATATTTTTCCCAGTGTTTTTATTTTCTGTTTTATATATATTCTAGTTTCCTTCTTTCCTTCTCAATTATCCACCCATCCTAAAACCAAAAAACAAAACTTATCGCATAAAACATTTGAAAATTCCTTTCGCCTTAACCATTTGATTACCCACTTCGCTCGTCATAATCATCAAACATATACCCTTTCGATCCTGTTTTATGGTCTATATCTATGCCTGGCAATCCTTTGCCAGCTCAACACTTTTGCAGTTTCAAAGTTTTTGGGTACTTTTTTGGGTGTTTTTAGTACCCGTTAAGACCTTAGAAAAGAATTCCTTGTGCCCAGCGGGGTAATAGGTTTCTCTGTCTATCTCTTTCTATCAAAAATTGGTTCCTAGACGTGACATGTGTCCCGTCTCTTTCTGCAGATCCTTGCAAATTTATTGCATTTACTGGAGGAAGTTCTATCCACATTTTTTTTTGTTCTTTGCTCCTGGCCTTTTCCTTTTGTGGCTTTGCTTTGATTTAATTTTGCCACTGTTGTTGTCTCTCTCGGTTGAATTTCAACCCGTCTCTTTCTCTGTGGGAGCTCCCTGCAATTTGTGAGCTTTGTTCAATTGGCTTTTCTGTTGTCCTGCCAATGTCCGAGAGCTGCGAGTGGGTTCGAGCTGCGAGTTCCGTGTTCTCGCCTTGTCCTGTCACTCATGCGTCAGCGGTATTTGCTTGGGTGTTGGCTCTTAAATCACTTGGGGGGGGGGTTTTGAAAAACGTAAAGAAGTTTTTAAAGTTTTTTATACCGAGACTATTGGTTATATTCTTGAGTTTTCTGGAAAGCTTTTCCTGAAGAGGTACTTGGGAAAAGGGGGATTTATGCTTAAAGTTGGCCAAATAAATAATTTAACAAGAAAGGAAGCTAACTTCGGCACGCCGAAGTTTGTATACCCTTGCAGATTGGTTTTTATGTTTATATTATAGATTTAAATGCTGAAAACACTTACAAAAACAGAGTTTCATTACATTTTACCTATACTTATTATGTTTACAGTTTGACAGTTACAGTTTTACATTCCCAGCTTTACATTTTCTCTACATTTACAGATCGTTTATATGGCAGCTGTATGATATAGTTGTCCGATTTTTATGAAATTTATACCAAAATTCTAGAATAATAAAAAAAAGCTTATATCTCAGAGTAGATAAACATACGATGAAAAACAACGAAGCTATAATTTTTTTCCTATTTATTTCTCGATCGTTCCTATGGCAGCTATATGATGTAGTCGGCCGATTTGCATAAATTTTTTACCAAAATTCAGAAATAATATAAAATGGCCATATCTAAAAAATGGAGCAAAAATTTTGAAAAACAGCAAAGTTATAAATTTTTTTCTAGAAATGTATCGTACATTTGTATGGCAGCTATATGATATAGTCGTCCGATCCGGCCCGTTCCGACATATATAGCAGTGAGAGTATATAGAAGACTATATGCAAAGTTTCATTCAGATAGCTTTAAAACTGAGGGACTAGTTTGCGTAGAAACAGACAGACAGACAGACGGACAGACGGACAGACGGACAGACGGACAGACGGACAGACGGACATGGCTAGATCGACTCGGCTGTTGATGCTGATCAAGAATATATATACTTTATAGGGTCGGAAACGTCTCCTTCACTGCGTTGCAAACTTCTGACTGAAATTATAATACCCTGCAAGGGTATAAAAATAAGTAAATATAACAAAAGATGCATATTTCTTAAGATATTTCTCTATTTGTTACATTTCTTCTTGGTGAAAATATAATCTTAATATTTTGACCACATCTGTTACACATATCTGTGCGACTCCCTGAAAGAAAACCCAGCCAAACTCCCTTTTGGTTTGTAGTTTATGTTCAACATATTTTATTGATTACATTTCCAACTCCAAGCTCCAACTCTAACCACTTTTCCGGCGTGTTTTGGCACAACTTTATGAGATTTTCTCTCTCCTAAAGCTCTTTTTTGGGGGGCAGTTCGCATTGCAATAGGGATCCCCCAGTTGACTTGGCAAATAAATTGCTTATTTGTAGCGACAATTTGCGGTAATTTGTGATTTGTGGTGGTGACATCATCCTTTCTGCGGAGGGTGGAATCCTCTCCCCCAAGGATTCCATATTTACAGAGGCTATTAATTAAACATATTTGCCGCTTTGACGGGTGGAATATGGCCTGCTGCCAGATGATGACCATCAGTTTGAGTGAAGGAAATGCCGAAAAATATTAAAGGAGAGTCCTGGGATTAGAATCCTGCCTCACTCTGCTTGATTACAATTTATTGAGTGACTTTTGCCAGGGCAAATCCTTGGCTCCTTTTTCGTTACTTCCCTTTTTTGTTGGCTGCGCCTTTGCCACGCCCACTTGTATGCATATCGTTAGCAAATTGCAGGCTCACCAGGACACCCGAAAAAAAAAAGGATTTCCATGTGAGTGTGTGTGTGTGCGGTAAGCTAATATCCAACCAATTTCCGTTTGGCTCTTTTCCGCGTTTTTTCGAAGGATACTACAGACCAGGTAAAGTCCTGGCCTTCTGCTGCGGGTTCTGCCTTTTGTGTTTCCGCTTTGGAAATTGGAAGACCACCGCCGTGTACCGCCTCTCCCATGTCCTTGCCGTGATTTCCCTCGCCGGTTTTCGCTGCTGAACCTGCTGCCATATAAATTTGTACAAGAGCTTAGGCAATTTTTTGCGCCTTTTGTTTGCCTCTGTCGTTGTCGCTTTGCCTCATTTGCATATTCGGCACATTCGGAATACCCTCGAAATGTTTACTTGAACACCCTCTAAAACCCCTGACCATCCTTTGTAGCCGTTCCTTTCCTTATTGGAGCCGTGTTTGTCTATATTTTCAGAGGCTTAGTCGTGTTTAAAGGGTTTTATTTAGGGGAAAAGTGACAGAAATATGATTAAAATTAAGGGGACACTGTGAATTTACATTTTCTTTATTTATAAATAATAAATAAAGGAGAATTTTCACCTAGAAAATATTTTGGGGAATTTAATAACAATTTAAGTTAAATTTAACAATTTTTAAAGGGTTTTGTTTAGAGGAAAAGAGACAGAAATACAAATAAAATTAAAGGAACCTTTGAACTTACATTTTCTTTCATTTAAAATAATTAGAAAAATAAAAATATTATTCCATAAATTATTTAGGGTAATTTTATAACAAATTGATTTAAATTAATACATTAATTATTATTTAAAAATATGTTATACAAAATATTTAAATTTCTATAAAATTATTATTATATGAAGTAAATTTTTTTTGCCTTCTGTGGATTTTCTTGGCTTTTCTTAAAAGCATAATCCTTCATAGAACCTATAAACTTACCTTCTAAAATGTTATTTTCCTACCAAAATAATATTTCTAATTATATTTCAATATAAATTACATTTCAAATTATTTTTCCTGTGTGCAAAATTAATTTTATAAGCTGACCACTTCGGCTTAGAGTTTTCCCTTGAGCGAAAATGTAAACATTTCTATTCAAAAGTCAAAGACTTTGAGGAGAAGGAGAACCACAATTCTGCGGTTTCTCAGCCGCAGGCCACAAAAGAGCTTGGCATATTGACCCGAAAAAAGGGGGCGTGTGCTGACCAGTAGGTGGGCGTTGATTGGCATCCGAAAAACCGAACCTTTTCCGAAGCCAAACTGTCAAAGCGGAGAGAAAACTGTAAAGTGAAGTGGCAGCCACTTGAACGTTTATGGTTATTGACATCTCAATGGCTTGGCCATGTAATTAAATTAGAGTAGAGAGACAGAGAAACTTGAACTAAACTGGATTTTCCCTTTTGTTTTTTGCAGCCATTTCCCGCGAAGATGGCGACGAATCGACGCATCACCATCACCACCATCATCACCACCGAGGAGGACATGGCGGGCATCACAACCACGGTAACAAAGTTCCATACAACGGCTACAATTCGGAGGAATACTTGGACAGGCTAGAACCGAATGGCAATATACCCGCTGACAAGACAAATTGCAGATATGGAGGTGAGTTTTGATAAGAGAAATTTATTAAAAATAAGTTGAAGGAATAAAATTGTAGTACAGAATTAGTTAAATAATATTTTTGGCAAGCAAAGGTAAAGGTTATGTGTAGGCTTTCACTTATACATTCTTCCAACTATCTTGTAAATATTTTATATATTTTATTTGATTAAATTTTCTCTTAAACTTCAAGTTTTACTTGAATTTTCGCACAATTTAAGCCCCGAAAAAGACTCATTCATAAGGCTTTTGCGTAATTTATCGCCCGCTTGTGCTATAATCTCTCATTTAAGCTGGCCTCCTCTTTCCGCTGGCAGAACTAATTTAATGATAACATGCCAGCAGCGACTCCTCCATCTCCAATCTCTTAGATTTTCCTTGGGACTGACTACTGGCAATAATTTATGCCTCCATCTTGTGTGAGCAGCGTGTCTAATTATGGAAGCAAGTTCCATTTTCCGAGCTTTTCCCTTGTCATCCTAGTGCATCTGGGGAATTGCCTTGCCTTCGATCTCGCATATTTTTGTGCACTAAAGGAAAAAATAGAAAGAAATTAGGGAAAATAGGGAAATTACTTCTTTGATTTTTTTAAAATAAAATTTAGTACAAGAAATTTATTTTAAAATATAAAGAAATTAGAGAAATTAGGGAAATTACAAATTTGACTTTTGAAATAAAATATAATTTATGAAATTGATCTTTAAATATAATATGAAATGGTAACAAAAGTTAATATTTATTTCTCTATATTTTATTTCTTTCTATTCTATTTATTCTCTATATTTCCCTGTGCACTCTCTCCCTTCTCCCTTGTAATTTATCACATTTTTGTCTCATTTAGCTAATGCAAACAAGTTTTCTTTTCCGCTCCTTTTCGCCATTTGAGCTTATCTTAGGGAAAATTTCCTCGATAAGCGTACTTCTCTGTCATCATTTCTCCGCTTTCTGTTTTCTCATAATTGTAAATTGCAATTTTATGCAAACAATGGTATCTTCTACCCACCAAGGAAGTCTAGAGTTCGAGGTAGCAGAAACTCGTTGACACTGCCGCCGATGATAAGCCTGCAAATGTAACGGCTTCATTTGTTGCTCCTTGAAGCGCTTGTTGCTCCCTGTTATTGTATTGTCCTTGCAAAGGGGGCAGGCAGGCAGGCACTCAACTCGAACAATATCCATTGTCTTGCCAATGTCTAGGCAATGTTTCGGAATCGGGCCATAAAACAACGGAAATGAAAATATTAACAAGCGAGTGCACAATAACTGGCGGAATTATTCATAACCAAATGGAAATTGTGCATGCTCCATATATCTTTCCCGGGGGGCTTTAAACTGGTAAGGAAGGACCTTTCCTCGATTTTCCCTCTCCTGGAATTTTCTTGTCTCTGCTGACATTGAATTCCTTTTGGCTAGGTAACATTCTTGCTCTGGGTTAGTTTCGCCTTGGATTATTGTGGAGGGAAAAGTGCTTAATCAATTCCTGTGAAAGTGAAAATGCATTTCGAGGCCAGGAAAAGTGTTTACCGGCTGCCCTGACACGAATGTTGTTATGTTGTCAAGTATTTGTTGAGTTGGTAAACTATTTTAAACGATTTTCTAAAGCATTAGCAGTGTGCTTTTTCATTTAATAAAGCGCTAAGGCTGATGGGTTATAAACATCTTCATTGAAAATAGTTTGTGTAGGCAAACATAAATAAAACAAGTTTTTGCTTAGCTAATTATTTTCCTATCTCTTAACCAATTATTTATGGCCAAAGACAACTATTTTGTCATCGATAGGAACTTTAGTTTTTAATTCTCTTATCTATCAAAATCAATTCAGCAAAAGTTTTTCTTTACCCAGAGCCACCCTCCCCCATCATAAAGTTATATAACGCACAATAAATTACAGAGTTGTGAAAGGAAGCAGGGAAAATTCCAAACAGTTAGCACAGCACAAAAACCTCTACCCAGCCTGAATTTTCCAGGACCTCTCTTACACCCCCTCTCCCTAGCCATTGGGAAAAAGCAATTTCAGTTTTTCATGCTGTTCCCATTTTTTTTGTTGCTGTTCTGATTACATGATTTATAAGTTATCTTCAGCAAACAAAACAAAAATATATAGAAGAGAATATGTATATAAAATTTATGTTCAACGCTTTCGCAAAAGATTATTGTTTATATGCGCAAATTATGCCAACATCTCTGTGCAAAAAAAAAAAAATGTAAAAAAAAACATATTGGCCCAAAAAGGAATTCGCATAAAACTGTTTAAAAGCTGCCAGCAAACAACCCTCAACATCCGGCCAATGATTGTAAATCATGTTTAACAATTATGCGTGAAACATAAAAAAAAGCGAAGCCTGAATTTAATTTGCCAAAGCAAAAGGAGGCGGCTCGGTGATAAAGTGTGTGAAATTACGAGGCATTTTCCTGGCTTTTGAATATTCTCTCCACCTGTAAGCAGGACCTCCACCTAACACAAGAATAAATCCTTTTAACGCTTTATTTGGCTTCTAAGGCGCTTTCTTTTCTTTTCTTTTTAGTCCTGTCTCCTTTCGGCTTTTGTTTATTTTTATTTTGTACTTTGACTCGCCAAATCCTGTGCGTTGTTTGCTTTTAATGCCCTCTTCCTGGGGTTTTCTGTTAGCCACCCTTTTTCCTTACGCTTCCAGGACCCACAACTGTCTGTGATTTAAATTTATTGGCAAAATACTTAAAGTAAATCTTTTTGTTTCACTTGGTTTTTGGTACGTGTTTAGGGGGTGGTGTGTGTGTGTTTGTTTTCTTTTGTTTTTCAGCAACCCTTTGACAATTTTCAGCGGTTTTTTTATAACTTCAATGTCTATTAGAGGGGTTCTTTCTGGCGGTTCATTTTAAAATTCTAACTGGCAGCCGCAACCGGAATCCCTGCACTGAATTTTCCCGACGCCTTGCGGTTGCGGTAGAGTCTTTCTTGTGGCTTTTCCGGTAACACCCTCCCCCACCACCACCCACCACCCACTCAACCCTTTTAGCACCAGCAAGAACCCCAACCCCCGCCGGAATCATTGCAGTTTATTAGCAAAGCAAAAAACATGTCGCCTTCGCTGACTTGTTTTTTCCGTCGCTTTTGGAAAATCGTTTTCTGTTTTAATGATTTAGTTTGGTTTTTCTTTTTGGTAAGGAAAACCCTCCCAAAATTTTTCTTTCTCCTTTTTTTGTTTGATGTTGTCTTGCGTGAGACATTTTTTTCGGTGGGTTCTTTTTGGTTGGGCTAATGAAGCGACTTATGCAATGACATGGAAAATTCTGCGGTTCGCATTTTTCTCTCCGTTTGATTTTCCTCTTTACCATTTCCCCCGCTCTTTTTCGAGTGTTTTTCCAGCCACTACACAGCATTTGCATGACATCTAAAAGGGAGTCTGAGAAAAGTGTGACGGGGGCGGGAAAGCGGAGTGTGAGCTCATCAAAAGGGCAAAGGCTCTTTTTTACGGCTTTGATAAATGGAAAGTTTGCTAATTGGCTTGTTTTAAAAAAAGGGCTGCGCCACAGTGGATAACTGTGGCAAAAGCACAAATATAACAAGTCTTTGAGCTGCAAACTTGATTCATTAAATGCGGCTGGAGTTGCCAACTCGATTTGATGTGGAAATCAAAGAGAAGAGTTTTTAAATTCAAGGAAAGGAGTTTTTAAATTACTAAAAACAAATACATTTTTTATTAAAATTATAAAATGTGTACTTTTATTTACAAACAGAGCCATTTTCCATTTAATAAAAATTAATAATTATAAAAAAAGTGTTTATGGGGCTGCCAATTCGATTTAAAATGCATGTTGCAGAGCTGTATTTTTAGGTAGTTATCGATTTATTTTGAAAGCAGTTAAATATATATTTAAATAATTTATTTTTAAATTTAAAAAGTACTTTTTTTTATACAATTCCCCCCTTTATACTCCCCTTTCCCTCAGCTAATGCAATCAATTTTCTTGCCAAAAACTTTTGCCTGCCTTCCCAACTGAAACCAAAACTGAAAGCTTTATAATAATCCAAAGTCAAGGCACGCCCCCTCTAACTTTTGGCTTACCACTGGCAATTTTCACCATTGTCCCTACTCCTTAGACAAGCCAACTTCCCTTTCTTTTCCCCCTTCTCCACTGTGTGTGTCCTTTTTTTCCCTCTCTGTGCTTTGTATGACGAAAAAGAAAAATTGTCCAGAAAATATCTTTTGACAATTCACCGCTTTATGCATACTAAGCTCATTATGGAACATCCTTTTTTATTCCTCTTTCGTCTTCTTCTGGCCGTTCTTTATGATGATTCCTTTAACCAAAAGGGCGGGTCCTGGAAATGTGTTTCGGGGGAAAACTTTTTAATAGTGCCCAGTTTGAAGTCCCCCCTCCCGTCGTTTTGATGAGCATTTCTTCTATTTTATTGCATCTTTGCTGTGGCTAACAAAGCCCCCTTGGGCAAATGCCACGCCCCCAAAAGTCTCTGACCAAGAAAGTGGCACAATATTAAAATATTCTGGCTTGTCATTATAAATTCCTGGGCCAACACCGCTGGATATAATAAAAAAAAATAATGGGAGCAAAAAAAAATAAGAATGGACACGAGCTTTTAAAGGTTTTACTTCTTTAAGTTGGTTAATGCCATGAAGGGTGCACGGGGAAAAATTCTGGAGTAGAAAATTAAAATGTGGAAAAATAAAAAAATAGCTAAGGATTGTGTCACCTTAATTTGGAAATTAATTTGAAATTATATGGAGTTAATTTGGTTTTAAAGATGCCTAACAACCTTTAGATTTTTCAATAAATTATATTGAAAATTAAAAAAAATTATAATAAAATAAATTATAATATTATTTATTTATTTTTCTTTAATTTAGTCATTAAATGTATAAAAAATATCAGAAAATATTTTCTAAAATTTTATTAACTACATTATATTTATTTTGTTTTTTTTTTTTTTTTAATTTAATATTCATATTAATAATAATTAATATTAAATTTGAAAACAAATTAATATTAATTATTATTAAAAAAAT